GACAAAAGGCACATTCATCTTTGCTGGGTCTGGATCTTGACTTGGATCTTCCCTTCTTTGTCCACATTTGACTTTGAGGACGACCACTCATAAATAGTGCTTCTCCTTCTCCGCCCTTCTGTTTTTCTCGCTTTCTTTGTTCATAGCTGTACAATGCCGAACAAACTTCTCTGAGAGAAACTTCGTCATTTCCATGGAGTAGAGCAATTTCAAGGTGCTCGTACTCATCAGAAAGTGACGCCAACAATATCAAGGCCAAGTCACCATCATCATAAGTTGTATCCATATTTTGCAAATATGTGACCAACTTATTGAAACTAGTGATATGTTCATTCATCGTGGTACCAGGAACATAGGTGAAATGAAACAGTCTCTTCTTCATGTACAATTTATTTTGACTATTTTTCTTCCTAAATTTATCCTCCAGTGCTTTCCATAATCTACTTGCAGAAGTTTCCTTTGTGTATGGATATTTCTGCTCTCTAGCAAGGTAGGATCGAATGGTACCGCAAGCAACACGGTTGATAATTCTCCAATCTTCTTCTCCAATAACATCTGGTTTCTTTTCTTCAATGGCCAGATCTAGCTCTTGTTGAAAAAAGACATCTAAGACCTCGCCTTGCCACATCCCAAAATGTCCGGACCCGTCAAATATTTCTACCGCAAATTTCGCATTTGACACAATTCTTGTCATAAGCGAAGATGCCAATGATGACGTATTGTTGACACTTGATGTAGATTCTTCTTGTTTATTGTCTCCCATATTTGACACAAATATTATTTAATAGCTGACGACACAAATCAAGATTATTTCCTTTCTGATGTAGAAGATCAGACTAAGCTGCAACCACAGAGCATACTCAGACAGAACCTTGACTCAGTTACCAAGATAAATCTTTTCTGATGTGGAAGATCAGACTATGCTGCAACCACAGAGCATACTTAGACAGTACCTTGGCTCTGATACCAATTGTTGCGGAAGCCAAATGTATATAGTGTGAATAAGTCACAACTACTATACCAAAAATTATGACAGCCACCAAATAATAAATAAGACAATAAAGCAACAATAAAAGGAACACCAGAATTTACGAGGTTCGGCTAATTTTGCCTACTCCTCGGACACAACCAATATTTTATTCCACTCCAAAAATACAAGTGAAATAATACTAAAGAGAGAAGATACAAATGCCTTAAACAGATGAGAAGGCAAATAAGAGGTGTGTTTAAATCCTAAACATTAAGCCTTCTTTTATAGGGAAAATTTCCCAACCAAATGACTAACCGACAAATGTGGGACTTTGCCAAATTCAACAATTCCCTCATCAGAAAGAAAACCATACGAAATGGCCACTCTATCTTCAAAACCCAATCATGTTCGATCAATCAGTTTGCCTGGGAGATCACACCCTATCACCCAAAGAGTTGAAGAGGAGATAAACAAGCTCAAATCATTATCAGTTGCACCAACAGCAGACAGTGTGTACAGTGGTCTATTCGGATTGGAGAAATTATACAAGCGCATAGATGATCTTTTCAGCTTACCACAAACCCTCTGCCAAAGTCTAGATGCTGAATGGGTTGAAGATTTATTGGACAAATCCGTGAGGCTTCTTGATGTTTGTGGCACTACAAGGGAACTTGTCTCACAATATAAAGAAAATGTAAGAGATCTTCAATCATCTCTCAGAAGGAGAAAAGGAGATTCAACTACAGATGATAGCGTTGCCAGATTTACCTCTTTCAGCAAGAAGATCAAGAGGGATGCCAAAAGATTAGCCTTGAATTTGAAACAAATGGATCAAGAGACTGCAGTAGCAGTCTTGCTAGATGCAGATCAAGATACAATAGCTGCGATTAGAGCACTAAGAGAAGCTAATGCGGTGTGCATTTCAATTTTCCAAATACTGTTGTCCTTCCTGTGTGTGCCACTTTTGAAGCCAAAACAATCAAAATGGTCACTGCTTTCAAGATTGGTACACAAAGACAGAATAGTACCTGAAGTCCAAGAAGAAAACACGAGCTTAGAAACCAGGCTGGAAACATTCGGGGCCTACCTTGACAGCTTTGAAAATGCACTGGAAGCTACATTTAGGTGCTTGATTAGATCTAGAAGCTCGCTCCTCAATGTTCTTTCTTGTTAATCTGGCAGTTGTTGCTCCATACTCTGTAAATTGTACATAAACAGTTTTGTAGTTAGAAATATATAAACTTCAAGTGAAAGATTATACACCACTTACTGACTCTCTCTCTCTCTCTCTGTGACCAAAAATTAAAGGGTTATGCCTGTAAGTTTCAGCGCAAAGAAAGAACTTAGCAGTATTTCTCCATACCTGATACCAGTGTCTCAAAAATGTCAATATCCATTGAAATGGTCCTCTTTAGGCTAGAGGGGGAAATAAATAAAACGCATAGCACATTCATTACAGACTTTCTCTGGATAATTGGCTTCAAAGATCAAACTAATGAAGGGCCATAATCTGGATGAAAAGTTTCTTCCTTATGCTCCTTATCCACCATACTTTAGGCATCACCGATAAATTAGGAATATAGCTTATGATTTGCTTATCTTACTTCATAGTCCATCTAGATATGGAGACCACTGTAACTATGACAATCTTGATATCATCTGTCCTCCTTCTGAGATAATTGGAAGCAGTAGATCTAATCAGGAGTCTTATCCTATGTCCTTTTTCTTCTAGAGCCTAAGCCAAATTCAACAAAGAAAACAAAACGGAAGATCTAGCACAAGGATCTGGCACCAGATCAGCGGGCAAAGCAGCCAATAGCATTCCTTCGAACAAATAAATGGAGCAATTAACAGTGCCACTTTGCTCGACTCAATATCAGTTTTATATGAACAACTAAAGTGGCATTGCTCAGCAAGCTTAATTGCATAGCTCCCAAAAAATCCTCTAGCAGTCCCTGAAAACAACGATATGTACGCTCCCCAAAAATAGATTTGAAGTGTGGACAGAAACACTTTTGAGGAGCAGCTGACAACTTCGAATATATTTTGGAAGGGACATAGGTGCCTGATTATATTGCAGTGTTCTCTCCTAAATATCTTCTCATGCTAATCTGAAGTTGGCTACACATTTTTCACATACATAATGTCATGGCCCCGTGGCTAGCTTCTAAACGTGTTGTGCCAAGGACAGGCCCACTAGACTTTGTTTAGCCAACTGACAAGTGTGCCTGTGCCTATGTCAAAGAAAAGGAGATCACTTAAGTACAGAAGCCAGCTTTACCAGATCATCTCCTTCAGCAAGAAGATTGGGGAGCCAAAAGTTATTCCTGGTCTTATCTCTTAAAATTGGATGAAGACATTGAGGAATCGGAATTCCAAGATTCAGATATGCACGCTACATATGTGATTGGAGCACTAAGGGAAGCCAACCTAGTATGCATTTCAATTTTGCAAATGCTCTTGCTACTTCTTATCTGTCCCAGTTAAAGTCAAACTCGTCCCAGTTAAATGGCACTGGTTTTGAGATTGGTGCATAAGGGAAGAATAGCATGTGAAAAGTCGAGCAGATAAAATTTGTTGAAATGTCAAAATTTCAGATTTCCACGTCGGTGGGTTAGCAATAGTTGGGGGATTTTCCCCCTATAAAAGAAGGCTTAATGTTTAGGATTTAAACACACCTCTCATT